CGCTTTGAATCCCCAACTCCAGCAGCAAAAGCAAGAACTTCAGGTGCTATATCTATACTTCCACTCCTCCTTCCCCAACTAGAACGTCTTGGATGCGAGGCAACGTGTCTCTCTGTGCTCTCTGTTCGGAGACTCCTGCTTAAATCTTGGGACCTATCAGCCTCACTCACTCGGGGGCCCTTGTTTACTCCATCATCGTTGCTAAATTGCCCTTCATAATCGCCCATCTCTCCTGAAGCGTCATTCCAGAATGGCTTCCTCCCCATCTCTATGTCACTCATGGCTCTCCCTATGACAGGACTAACAAAGTTGGCGCCTACTGGTGCAGGAAGAACAGGATCTTTTGGAACTTTTGCCCTGAAATTGTTCTTGGATGGAGAAATACTAGTGCAGAATACCTCCATGAAGTTCTTAATTGTGCCTTTGTTGAATGGGTTCTCTCGTCCATCATACCGGTATCTAAAGTTTTCATAAGTAGACTGCCAATGCACAACAAAATAGAACTCTAACGTTACAAGATTGGAAAAAAAAAAACATGAATTCAAAAGTATAGATGGATCTACATGAATAAGCATCACCACACACAGCACAGCAAAATTGTTTAATGAATGAGTTTCTAACCTGGTTCATACTGATGAGGTATGAGTGGAACACAGTAAGACCGCCGACAAACCAAAAGGCAATGAAACTGTAAATAATGAGCGCAATGGAGGCAGGAGTCTTTATTAGCGCTTTCCAAATTGATATATCCTCGCCGTGCATGATCCTCACAACGTAGACCCAGCAAAACCCCTGTACATATAAGCAAAGAAGAGTCGCAGAGAACACGAACATGAAGAAGAACCTGTAGTTCCGCTGCACACAGAAATCAAAGGCAGGTTTACATAAATTTGAGCAATTGTTTTGAGTTTTTGCGATTCTTCTAATCAATTATAAATTAGTCATCCAATCAAACTAAGCACCTCCGCAGAATTGAAAATATTAATAGAAAAGCACCAAAGTTTAGATCCTGAAAGAATGTCCCTTACCAATCCAATACATTGGCCAACCCAAGGGCAGTGATGGTCGAATCGCTGCACGCAGTTATTGCATATGGAACAGTGAGAACAACGAGGAGGTCTGTAAAGCATGCAGGTGTCACAGTATTTGATCTTCACAGTAATACCATTGATAACTACTTCCTTTATGCGTGGAAAACGTGACTGTTGCGATTCGCTTGACCCACTCTCCATACTCGCATCATAATCCTCTGGCTCTGGAGGGCAAATATTACGAGGTACTATACCAGGATCTCTTCCTGAGGTTAGCATAAGAAAAACCAAAACCTGAGAAAACAAATACACACGCTTCCATTCGTCAGAACACAACTTGTTGCACCAAACTTCAGAAATTTGACCATCATAATTCTCGTTGGCAGTTCATAGTTCAGGCATTCATGAAAAGAGAGTGTCGAATAAGTAGAAAACTACTATCACAAAAATCATGACATTCAGTTATACTAATAAGCTATGCCTTAGTAAATTCCAAGCTTGTGCGTTGAGCAAATGCGTATACATACAATCTTATTAACCACTACAACAGAATTCAAATAGGAAAAGGACTTACAAGTAGCGTCCATAGAGAAACGGCAACAATTACTGAAATTCCCAAGTGATCAATGAGTTTCCTTCCTACGAAGATGCAGAAAACTGCAACAGGCACTGTAAGTAGGAATACTGTTAACGGAAGAGATCTAACATCGGGTCCAAATATAAGCCTTCCACCAAGTAAAAATATCTGCAGAATAAACAGCCAACAATGTGTTTGAGTAAACATAAACGCATAACAAAGGATGCATATGCTGCCACTTACAAGGAAAGACAAACCAAACGAAAAGCTTAAATGCCGAATAGTCAAATCGTCATATATTTGAAAGGATATCCTCCCCTTATGCTACAACATGATCAATAAGCATAAGTTTCGGTCTCTGAGGATTGTATGGTTAAAGGGTATGCTGGGAATGCCAAAGCAGAGACCTAAACCGTAAACTCAAAGACGAACAAGATAGCGTGCCCGCCTCCTTGCATTCGAGTTTGAATCTCCTCCAATAAAGTAGAGTAGTTCATAATGTCGTCTTGCCAAAATATAAAAAGTAAAAATTGGACATAATCCCCAGTTTTCCAAGAAATAATTAAAGCTAATTTGTGTCCGGTCAATCACCAAACAAATTACCACTTCTTAAAAGCAGTCACAACCCAAATCAATCAACACAATTTTGCATCTTTCAACACCTTCCTAATAAAAAAGCAATCACCTTTCAATCGAACACTCAAAAAAAAAGAAACCCCTTTCAATTTCAGCAACTGGGTAACTCCAAGATTCCCCAAAAGTGAGCAAAATCAAGAAAAAGAAAACAAAACTTCACATATGAAAAACAAAACCCAAGTGAGAGATTTAGCTTACGTTGCTGCCTTTCCAGGTCTTGTAAGTCCTGACCAGCTCCTGCCCACCGGCTGCAGCGCCGCCTTCAGGGGAGGGCCGATGGCGGTGACGCGACTCCGCATCCATCATGTGCTCTTCGGGGGTGGGCGTGGGGGCTTGCGTCAAAGGAAACGAAATAATTGGAAAAGTAAGAAGCAAAAGTCAAAGAAAGGTTGGTTGTTTAGTGGTGCGCTGTAGTTGACTTTTCCACAATCAGCATCATCCTCTGGAAGACTGAATAGTAAAAAAATCAGAAGAAGCTCTCTCTCTCTCTCCCAATTGGTTTAAGGCATGAAGTGTCAGATTCCGGCAACTGCTGGAGGAGGAGAGAGAGATAAGCGGTCAAGTCTTGCAACTACGTCTACAAATTCAATCATACACCATGCACATGTAATTATGTGACGTATAGTATCATCCCATTATGATATGAGTAATGTTATTCATATTATGTTTTTGTACCACATTTTCATATTATCTTAGGTGGCATTTGATGTGGACAAGCACATGATTTGAATTAATCAGATTTTTAAATTTAGTTCATTATTTAATAAACTAATAATTAAGAAAAATTAGTTAATTAAATGATGATTGTGGTATACGAGGAATCATTCTCCTTCATTACCTTGGGTTTTGCAAAATTTTTAAATGATGTGGTTGTCTACATCAGATGTCACCTAAGGTGGTATAGAAATATGGTATAAAAACATGGGAGCAGTTTTGCTCACCACCATAAACTATGTTGTATGCTCACTATACACCTAATCAATTGACACGTGTTCTTTCACCTAACTCTAGTTAACTTTCACATTAAATGTTAGTTTTTCAATTTTGAAAAAAATTAACCAAGATTAAGTGAAATGAAACGTGTTAATTGATTAGGTGTATGATGAGTATACATAATAATTTATGTTGGTGTGACACGTGTCATTTCACTTAATTTTGGTTAATTTTTTTTTAAAATTAAAAAACTAACATTTAATGTGAAAGTTAACTAAAGTTAGGTGAAAGAACACGTATCAATTGATTGGGTGTATAGTGAGTATACGTCATAGTTTATGATGATAAGCAGAAATGCTTCTATAAAAACATGGTATGAATATCTTTATACGGGTAAGTGGCTGTTGTGAGGAAAAACCGTCAAAGTCAGTTAGCATGATTCGTCTCTCTCTCCTGTCAAAACATGGATTTTCTGATGCCAAAAACCATATTTGATTCGGGGTTTTGGGCTGCAAGAGATCTTGGGCACTTTGCAGGTGTTTGTCTTATGGGCCTGACTTATTCGTTTCAGACTTAAGGCCCCCTTATGAGCACGCGAAGGTAGAGAAAAATGATTTTTCCGCCTTGTATTTTGGATTGAATTGGAAATGGTTGTACCTATATTGGATTATCGATTTTAATTAAATTCAAAAAACCAAATGACGTCAAGTGTTGGTATACGTATACCTTTTCGAGTCTAGCCACTTACTTTGTGGCTTGACATTCTGAAATAAGGGTTTTCGTTCCGTCCTCCACCCAATCCCCTTAATTGTTCGAAGGTCTGTCACATCGCAATAGTTGGAGAAGTCGGGCATTCATCTCATCAACACGTGCACAAATACTTGTCCATTTTGCGATCTCTCCTACATTGCCCAATTAAAGGGTTTGACGGGTGCCACATTTGGTACTCCTTTGGTGATTTGTGCAATAAACAATCAAATTGAAGATCATCAAGTCATCAATAAATAATCTAATACATTGACCCATTTTGGTAACAATCATGATCTTCGTAATTAATTGTTTATTTATTTGATATATTTGGATGACTATACAATCTTCAAATTTAATTAAATTTTCATAAAAATCATCTCAACAATTCTGATAAGAACATAATTAGATGATGAAGAGACGCTGATTATATTGAGCTAAATTATTGGACTTTATTTGTTGTTTACTTTTTTAATGATTAACCGTCATGTGATTGGCACATGATTTTTCTTTTTCTGAGAAAAAATTGGTTGAAAATGGTAGAGAAGACATTGGTGATTTAAACAGAGAAATGCTAACAAGACTGCTGAGGACTAGTAAATTTAAAGAAAATTTTGACAAATACTTCAATCAAACCCTATATCAATTTATCCACACCATGAGAAGTCTTTTAATTATATGCCTTTAATCCTTTGAGGGGTAATGCTGTCAGAAAGACTAATTTTTATAACTAAATATTGTAAACCATATAACGTGGTTATTGATGATTGGATTATTACTTAAATGTTGATTAATGTGCTTAAGTGTCATTGAATGATAATGCTAGAGAGACTAGCTTCTTAAACCAAATTTTATAAATCATATGACTTGATTATTGATAATTGAATCATTATTAAATATTGATTAACATGTTTATTTCCTATTAGTGACACATCATATTATTTGCAAATTTAGTATAAAATTTTGATCTCCCTACCATATAATTCAAAGGTCTAGAATTGAAAAATTGGCGCAACAAAAATTTACAAAAAGAGAAAGAAAAAAACCCTACAAATACATGAGTCGTTCCTAATGATCACGACCTATAATTTCTTTAGCTGCAATTGATTGAGTGCTTCCTTTCTTTATCCTTTTAACTTGGTCTTGCGTATCCCTCACTCTAAGCCTTCCCCAAAAACATGCATACCCTTCTGCTTCAATTTTTGCGTCCTTTCCTTTTGCTCACTTCCTTTATTTCAATCAACTTTGAGTTATATTTATGTGCAGATAATGAAGCGTACTCAAACTGCAGCGAAGCCATCATCAACTGCGGGGGCATCTCGTCAGACGTCGTGTACCCGTTTTGGGGTGTAAACAGACCCTATTACTGTGGTCAACCTGGGTTTGAGGTCCAATGCCTAGACAGCGTTCCCGTGTTCAGCATGTGGAATATCGACTACAGAATTCTCGAAATGAATTCGAGTAGTTGTCCATGGACTATTAAAGTTGCTCGGCAGGACTATTGGAAAACTATCTGTCCTCCCACTTTTGTTTACACCAACATCAACTCCTCTCTGTTTGATTATGCTTCCGGGCTTGAAGACGTGACCTTTTACTACGTATGCAGTGCAAATACGGGTACTACTATCCCGGGATTTAATTTTAATTCCCAATCCTGCAGTAATAACATGAGGGGCATCACTAATTCGAAGACGACTAATCAGGGCGGTCGCGGATTTGATGTTAATACGTATGTCACAAGAAATCCCGGATTTGATCCAGTTGCGACTGGCCTATGTACGTACAGGGTCAGTGTTCCGGTTTTTACAACAGCTGTTCTTGCTCTAGAGTCCAATCGAACGACTATCCAGGACGCGATAGATGGGGGTTTTGAATTGGAAATTAAGATTGATGATGATGAATGCGACAGTTGTGAGGTATCAGGAGGAAAGTGCGGGTTTAACATTACTAGTGGTGGATTCAGTTGCTTTTGCCATGATCGGGATAATGAAAATGCAACCACATGCAAATCAACTTCAACTGAGTCATCAGGTACGTTATGTATTCCTTTTAAAATTGTCATCAGGTACGTTATGTATTCCCTTTAAAATTTTAAAGTCCACTGAATTAATCAAGGACTAATGGTACCTTATTTTAGGGTTCTAGAATTATGCTTATCTCACCGCAATCGATTAATTACGAGGAACCTAGCATGCATTAGATTTTCATGCGTTGATAAAATTAGATGGAGTTATTAACTACATTGAAAAAGGTATGAAACTATCTAAATTATAGTGAATACGAGAAGAAGAAGATGAAAGTTTAGAAGGAAATGACAGCTTGTATTAATATCTTCTGAGTTGAATAGATTACAAAAAATAAGATAAGTGTTTCCAATTTATAGTAGCCTATCAAACTAACTCTACAACCTTCTAACAAACTCTTCTAATAATAGCTTTCATGTACACACCACTCTCAATTGGTAGTAATGCTTACCATCCTACTAAAGACCAACTTCAATGGCTAGGGTTAAAACCTAAATTTTTAGCCTAGAAAATTAGGTTCTAACTCAGAAACTGTTTTTATTCTCTAATAGTTTTGGCTTAAAATTTTAGCCTGAAATTATGAAAGAATGTTTTTAGCATTTTTTTTCAGTAACTTTTTTAAAAATAAAATTATAATTTAATTTTATGAACATTTTAACCTAAAAATATAAATATTAAAAATCACTAAACCTACCGCATTCTTACACATATGCATCACATGGAAGAATATGGAAACCCACACAACCTACCCCATTCTTAAACAAAAATAGGTAGGTGGGTAGAAAGAAAAAAATGAATAATTGTTTGGCAAAAGTTGTAGGTATTTATAGAGTTTTTAGGTGAATTTTGATTTAAATAATTTTTTTATTGTTTTAGCTATTGGATTTAATTTTGAGCTTTAAATGTTCTTTTTTACGGTTAGATTTGCTCATATTCAATCTCAACCGTTAAATTTAATGTATTTATAATATTTTTTAAATTAAATTTTAACCAAAGGTCCAACCATGTGGACCGTCCTATAAAAAAAATAGTCAATCTTTTTGCAAGTGGCCAACAACATAGAGCAACTGGGTCCCAACCACTAACCTTGGCTCATTTTTTGGGTTAAATTTGGCTCAAAAATAAGTTATAACCCAAACTCTTTTAGGATCTTAGTTAAAGCGACTAAATTGATCTGTTATTTAGTTAGTAATTAACGTCAATATGTTCCATACATCTTGCCAACTTAATAATTTTATCAAATGACTCAAATCTACATTCGATATACGTTTGCAAGTTACAATACTTATCATCAATTAACCTTGATCTGTTGCAGGTTCAAGTTCATCGTCACGTGAGAAAATAGGTACGTACTATACGTATACGTGCATGTGATGAATAACAAATAATATACAAGTTTCTTCAGAATTTTTGTATTTATATGCCTTTCTGTGGTCGAATAATTCATGAAATCATAACTTCAACGATTTTTTAACGTAGGTTTTTCGGTTCGTGTTTCTGGGACCACAGTACTAATTGTTTGTGTAATATGCTTAACGAGGAAAAGAATCGTAATGCTCTTCAAGAAATATAAAGGGGAAAAAATTGATGTTGAGGCCTTTATATGGAGCCGTGGATCACTTACTCTAAACCGGTATAGTTATTCAGATGTGAAGAAAATGACAATCTCCTTCAGAGATACAATAGGTAAAGGAGGATTTGGCACTGTATACAAAGGAAAACTACCCTACGATGGACGTATTGTTGCAGTGAAAGTCCTTTGCGAGTCCAAGGGTAACGGAGAAGAATTTATCAATGAAGTTGCTAGCATTGGTAGAACTTCCCATGTCAACATAGTCACTCTTTTCGGATTCTGTTACGAAAGGGACAAAAGAGCTTTGATTTATGAATTCATGCCTAACGGATCTCTTGATAGTTTCATACGTAAGCAAGGATCCGATATTGAAAAGTGTCGCTTGGGGTGGAAGACATTATCTGAAATAGCAGTTGGTGTCGCGCGAGGACTAGAGTACTTGCACCGTGGTTGCAACACGAGAATTTTGCATTTTGACATAAAGCCGCAAAACATTCTTTTGGACAAAGACTTTTGCCCGAAAATCGCTGATTTCGGTCTTGCCAAACTATGCAAAGTGAAGGAGAGCATTGTGTCGATGTTGGGCACAAGAGGAACTGCAGGATACATCGCACCTGAAGTATTTAGTCGGAGCTTTGGAGGAGTGTCTCACAAGTCTGATGTGTACAGCTACGGAATGCTGGTTCTCGAAATGGTTGGAGCAAGAAAGAATTTGGATTCCGGAGTGTCTCATACGAGTGAAATGTTTCCGCATTACGTTTATAAAGTTCTAGAGCTAGAGAACAATGAGAATGTTTTTGGGGCTATCAGTGCGGAGGAAAATGAAATAGCAAGAAAGATGGTGTTGATAAGCATGTGGTGCATTCAGACCATTCCTTCTGATCGGCCATCGATGAGCAAAGTGGTAGAGATGTTGGAGGGACCCCTTCAATCCTTGCAAATTGCACCCAAGCCCTTCTTGTCTTCACCTACAACAGCTGCAGAAGACTCTACGAGTACATCCCAACAGTCTGATGAAGCAAACCAGGGCAACTAGATTTGTTAGCAGCTCTTTGGTAATTAGGAATTCCAGATGAATTTGAATTGTACGAAAACTTTTCTTTGAGAAATGAAATCTCTTTTCATGATATTATATATGAATAACCTTTTCTTAACACAGAAACCGCGTAATAAGGTTAGGGTCTAGCATGATATTTTTTTTATTTTTTATATATGTATATAACATGTTTCCTTCTAATTCTGCTCAATAAAGTACACTAACTAGCTAGTCGCGATACTTTCTTCTTAATGTCGGAGGAGGTTCATCCGACCTCCCTCATCCATGATAGATCTAGCTTGAGTTTGACTGCGCCACCGAAACCAACCACACCGAACAGTAGTTTCTGTGGACGGACTGTGATCATGGGTGGGTTTGGTACGGTTACCGTACCAAAACCCTCGTACCAATTACCATACCAAACTTTCGGTTTGATAAAATCTATTACCATTACCATACCAAACTTTCGGTATACCGAAGTTCGGTATTGCCAAAAGTTCGGTTGGCATGATATGGCAATGGTAATTGCCATTTTGTTTTGGGACAAAATCTGTTTTTGTTTTTTTAACCCAATTCAAGGGCAAAACTTTTTTTTTTGTACCTTATCTCATACATTATAGATTAAATTCATCATTCACAATTCACACACATAATAATTCAAATGATGCATCAAGATTCATCATGAAAATTAAGCTTACAATCCAAATAGAAGTTACTAACCACAACAAATAGAAGTTAACAATCCAAATAGAAATTAAAGTTTCAAACCAAATGAAAATTGGAAGTAAACTTCAAAAAGGAGAAATCATTGATCAGTTATTCAAGCTTGAGATGTCGAAACTTTTGGAGGAGACATTGAAGTTCAGAAGATTGAATTTGTGTCAAGCCTACATTACAAACAAAGAAAACATATTAATTAGTAGCAAGAAGAATTAAAGTTGAAAACCATTTAATAACAAATTTACTGAAAAAATTAAAGCATATCTTTCTTGTTTTCTCTTCTTCAATTTCCTTGAAAAATTGAAGCATATCTTCCGTTGGTTCCTTGTAGAAGTTTACTTCATCTGCCCTAAGCCAACCATTAGTACGCACTAGTGCCTCCATTATTTTAGGAGTCAAGGATACCCTAAAAGGGTCCACAACCCTCCTCTCTAGGCTAAATGCATTTTCACTAGCAACAATAGAAGTGGGGGTTACAAAGATATTTTGGCTATTTGTGAAAGAATTATGAACTCTTTTGTGTTTGATTTCCACAATTTCAAGAGATCAAAGTCATCAATAACAATGTTAATATAAGTAGGGTTTTATTTTCAAATTATTGGAATATTATAAATATGTGTTATATAATTATCTATTATATAATTTATAAATGATATATTATATTGTATTTTCGGTATGGTACGGTAATACCGTGGTAATGATATCCATTACCAATACCGTACCATGAAATTTCGGTACGGTACAATACCGTACCATTACGGATGGTACAAAAAATTTGGCACAAAATCGGTATGGCACGGTTGACAATTCGGTTGGCACGGCAATTTGGTAAAAAAATCCACCCCTAACTGTGATAATAGCAGTATAAAAGTTACAAACACAGAAAATGCCAAGTGGCAAATGTATGTGAAGACAAGCGTCATTAGTATAGAGGTGGCTTACAAAGTAAGCTAGGCATTTATAAGGTGTATTTCCTATAAATAGCAAATGTACTGTTTCATTGAAAGGTTAAGGAGAATTAAAAACTTTCCTGCTCTTTCTCTCTCTCTAAACTGTTAACTGCCGTACTTTAGCTTAATGTTTTCTTTGCTGCTAAGCTTCCAAGATTGTTATGATGGTATCCAGAGCTTGCGATTCACATGTGGGATTACATAGTTCTTGATTTACGAGCTCACGATTTGCTGCAATGTTGTAAGGTTTCTTTGTTCTCAGTCTTGTTCTTACGAAATTTACAATCTTTGCTCCTAGATTTCTAGGGTTTGTAAATTTTTGGGGGAAGTTTCGTTCGCTGTTCTTGTTTGCCAGTTGTGGTTCATTTCTTCCTGGAAATTTCGTTACTATGTTCGTTCTGCTTAAGCGGTGAATCAGATCTGTTTTTCTGGGTTCTTTATGCTCTGCTTAGTTGTTGAATTTTTGGTTGAGTTCTTCCATTTACGTTCATCTACATACTTTGAAGAATATGAGTTGATCAAGGCTTATGCCATATTTCTGATTACTTGTTGAAAAGATTTTATGAAGGCAAATGCCAAAATTGATTTGAAGGCCAAAGCCATATAATGTTTGTTCTCTGAATGTGTTGATTATTATCAAGGCCAATTGCCAGGATTTTATAAGATGGCTAGTTCACAGTTCAAAGTTGAAAGTATTTTGGGGATGTTAACAATTCGGCTTGGTGATACAAATTATTCCAAATGGGCATATCAGTTTCCATCTGTACTCGGGGGATATAAATTGTTTGATCATTTTGATGGGACTTCAGTGTGTCCTCCAAAATTACTCATTAATACTAATACTGGAGTTACTAAAGAAATCACAGTTGCTTATCAGGATTGGGAACAAACAGATTTGACACTACTTAGTCTTTTAATAGCTAAGCTTGGTCTATGCTTGAGGATAGGTATGCTACTGTGTCTAAGTCTAGGATTAACATGTTGAAGACTGAATTCCAGACATTACAAAAGGGGGCAGATACAATTGATAAGTACTTCTCTCGTCTTAAGTCAATTCGAGATCAACTTATTACTGCTGGTGAAGTGATTTCAAATAATGATATGATCATTGCTGCACTAGAAGGGTTACCAAGGGAGTATGCCATTATAAGAACTGTTATTTTGGCGACGGAGACGCTATTTCTCTCAAAGAGTTTCGAGCACAACTTCTATATTAAAAGAGATATAGATAGTCTTGAAAATTATTTGTATAGTACTATGGCAGCAATGTATATGCAAGGCTCCTCTTCGCACATTGGATATTCTGGTGCTTCTCATGATGGTTTTGTCGGTTCTTCTTCTCAAAATGGTTATTCTGGTAATTCTCTAAATTCGTTATTTAGAAATGCACCCCAATAGTTCCAGTAGTATACTCATAAATTCATTAAAAGAACTAAAATTCATCAAAATCTCAATTGAATACATCTTTTAGGGTCACGATTTATGAATTTGGGAACGACTTACTTCCAATTGCTTCTAAACATTTCTTGGCGGTCTCTTTGGGGACAGGGGAGGGCAGTGGCGGGGCATCGTCATGAAATCTTCCTTGATCTCCTTCTTGGTGAGTATCAATGAGAACTTGGGCTTCTCCTCCTCATTTTTCTTCTCTGAACCTGAACTCGAACTCGAAGCCCCTTTCACTAGCCTTGGCGACTTCACGCCATTGTTACCCTCACTCCTCAACGGCAAGTAATTATCCTTCTCCTCCTCGATTCTCATCCCCTTAGCACCGCCGCCGCCGTTGATTGGAGACTTGCACGCCGATCACAAGTATCAATGTATGCCGGCATCGAAGCTCTCCTTCCAGCATGAACAGAAGGTTGAAGATGATACCAATTTATTTTTTAATATCTGTGTGATGCCCAGTTACTGTTCACGTGGTGCGTATCATTAGTTAACCGAAGTTCTGATAGAAAATTTAATGAATACATGAAATGTTAAAAATCAAGATTGAGATTAACCCCAAATTTGAAGAAAATTTTGACAAATACTTTAGTCAAACTCTATATCTATTTATCCCCACGTTGAAAAGTATTTTAATTATATGCATTTAATCCTTTGAAGCATAATGCTGCCAGAAAGACTAATTTTTAAAATTAAATATTGTAAAACATATAACGTGGTTGTTGATGATTGAATTATGACTTAAGGTATTTGTCTGTTTGCCTCCTAAATTTGTATAGAGGTGACATGACACGCCCGACCCTGATATTCTCCCAAATACCAGGGTATGCACGTGCTAGCCAATATCCGAATGTGACGAAGCCATATTAGAATGCATGAGAACAAGAAATAAATAAGACTTATAAATTTAAATATAACTAATATGCAAATGAGGAACGTGTTCAGAGCATGCAACTAATTTAGAACATTAAATAAATGATATAAAATTGAATGAACACAGGAGTGGGTCCTACATCGAAAGGACTCGAAGATGCCGATGTGGGAGTGCCTTGACGTCGGGATTATACGTCTCAATATGAAGGGGCGCAAAACAAACATGAGTGGACCAAGTTTGTATATATATAAAATACTGAAATAGTTATCAACATACTAACCCCCACAGTTTAGTGAAAACTCAACATCATAATATGTAATAGGTTTTCCGAAAACCCTAGCATGCCATAAAACCTTTTATGAAACATATCTCGTATATAGTGTGCTAACTAGTAGTATCAGTATTAGTATTTCTTGGCATGAAGCCAGTACGTATATCTCTCGGCCCGAAGCCATCTACATATATATACCTCCTGCCAACTATATATCTCCCTCAGCCGTATGTCTCCCTCAGCCATATATATCCCTCGCTCATAGGCAAAACAGTGACCACTAGATACACACAAAATCATTGAACATAGTCTTTCCAAATATAGGTACATATATCTCAAAAGCATCTTCATAGCGTATAGTCATCCATCATATATACCATAAAGAAGTGTGTAAAAGTATGTTCATAAGCAGTATATAGTCATCCATCATATATACTACAAAGAACATCAGTTTGATAAAATATGGTAATTTAAAGTATTCTCAATAAGCATAATATCTCATAAAACGTTTTATAAAACGTAATCATTAAATCATGTTTTTTATGTACGCATTTCTACTATTTAAACATGCATTTTAGAAGGGATCCACTCACAGATACTTCGCTGTCAAAAAGCCACGCAAACTATCGAAGGACGGAATCACCACAATAATTGCCCCTAAACACAAAAGGGGTCCAATTAATAAAACCCTATTAAAACGATTGGATTTGGGAAAATGGACATAAAAACGGATCCAGGATGTTGAATTACCCTAAGAAGGGTTCCGGATAAATTTCAAAAAGTCAACACGGGAATATTCCAAGAATATTCCACTGGGTTGGGCTGGGTTTAAAGGTTAGGGAATTAGGTTAAAGGGTTTAGTGGGCCAAAGGCCTTAGGTTAAAAGGGTTTGGGTTTTGAGTTTGTTGAGTTGGGCTTATATATGGTTGTGGGTCGAGTCGACTCAATTTCAGCTCGCGGGTCGCCAGATTACACAAAGAAGAAAGTCAGAGCTTCCCAAGCTCCAATCAACCTTAAATCTTAACCAAAACTAGTCATTCAATATATCAAATTGAAGTCCAAAAAACAAAGAATTGGAATATACCTTTGGTTTCCCCGACCGTGGTCGGAGTTAGCCGGAAAATGGCTTGGAATGTACATAGTTCTCGACGAGACGAAGAGAATGGTACCTCGCACGACGTCTTACTCGTCGTGGTTTGGCCGAAAAACGGCTCGAAAGCCACGAGGTCGCTGGAAATTGGGTAAGATTTAAATGGATATAACTTCTTCAATACTCAACAAAATTGGATGATTCAAAAACTAAAACCATACTTCTCGACGAGACAAAGAGATTGATCCTTTTTCGATGGCTAACTCGTTGTGGATCGATCGGAAATGGCTAGAAATTGGAGGCATGCGTCAGAGTTCGTGTACGGGACTTCATGGTTCGACTACCAAGATGCCAAGACTATGGTTGTGTTCGTAGTGATGAGATAAAGACGATGGTGATGTTGAAATTGTGATTTGATGATGATTTTAGGATATGGGTTATGGGTGTGGTACAGTGAAGGAGGAGAAGAAAGAGAGAGAGTGAAGAAGAGAAACTTACGAGGAGAGGATAGGAGGGAGATCGGGGAACCAAAATTAGGGGTGGGCCCCTTGGGCACACCATTTAACACCAAAGAGCAATATTTTAAAACAAATAAAACTCAACCAAATTGAAAATACGAAAATGCCCTTCTGTTTCATAAATCCTTGTCACAAGCAAATTCCAGCCGAACTTTAATTTTAGCCGATTATTCTCCTGAACTTTTATAATTAGCCAATTTCCCCCTTCAACTTTAACTTTAGCCGATTATCCCCCTAAAATGTTATAAATAGCCAATTCCCCCTAGCATTAGATTAATAGATTTTAAAATTTTCATCCCATTTTCATCCATCCAATTTTTCCATTCTTTTTGCGCCCATATAGTTGTCATGTGTTGTCCGCGTGATCACAATGGATAAAAAATTGGATGAATTTTTAAAAAAAATCTAGCATCAAGGGGAAATTGGCTATTTATAAAAGTTCTTGAGGGTAATCGACTAAAATTAAAGTTTAAGGAGGAAATTGGCTAATGATAAACGTTCAAGGGGTAAATAGCTAAAGTTAGAGCAACTCCACTAGGACCATTAGCCCGATAAACCGGCGACTTTCCTATCCCAATAGCCCCAGTTGCAAGCTCCAGCCCATGGGGGCGTGTGGGCTGGGGGGCCCGAGCGAGAGGCCTGGCTCGAATTGGTGGCCCGATAGCCTGAGGGCTATGTGATGTGTGGCTGACGTCAGGGTGACCTGGCTTGAATTCGTCCGTTTTCCTTTGTTGGAATTTGGAAAAAGAATGGGATGCATGCAGGGAATTAAGCCCTCGAATTAAACCACAAGAATTGCAACACAACATGATTTAAAGCTCAAGAACACAAGATAGTAATAGAAACATCACCTGGGTTCGAGATTGAGAGCTCAAGCTCTCAGCTTCAATGGTCGGACCTCGCACCATGCACCGATGCCACATGTAAGGCCATGGTTAGGTTCCTTGAGTTCTAGGGATTCCAAAAATATTATTTTTGAGCTTGATTTGTTGAAGGTTTGAAGAGGAAGGAGGAAGAGAGCTCACGAGAGTGAGCTGGAATAGAGGGAGAGAAAGAAAGAAAAAGGAAGAGAGAGAGAGAGAGAGAGAGAGATGTCTGATGGATTGGATGAAGAAAAAAACACTAATATTTTATTGGCTATTGCCATGGCTATTCAGTTTAAGGGTGGAGATGCAAAAGACAGTTATTTTTCATTAAAGACAGTTGCTGTTCACTGGGTGGATTCAATAGTGAGTTGCCCTTGGGGCCTTTGCAACGCTAGAGTTACTCTTAAAGTTCAGGAGGGAAATTGACAGTTCTATACAAGTTCAGGGGGCAAATCGACAAATATGCTAGAGATACCAACTTTTTAAACCAAATTTTGTAAACAATATAACATGGTTTTTTATAATTAGATTATTATTTAAGTATTAATTAATGTGTTTATTTTTTTTAATAATACATCATATAATTTACAATTTTAGTTTAAAAAATTAGTTCACCTAACATATAATTCAATGGTCTACCATTGAAAAGTTGACGCACCAAAAATTAACAAAAAGAGAGAAATAAAACCCTACAAATTTATGAGTCGTTCTTAGTAATTGCGACCCATAATTTCCTAGCGGCAATTGCTTGAGTGCTTCCCTTTTTTCTGCTTTTAACTTGGTCTTGCTTATCCCTAACTCTAAGCCTTCCCCAAAAACATGCATACCCTTCTGCTTCAGTTTTTGCTTCCTTTCGTTTTGGTACCGTTTGGTACGTGGGACGGGACGGGACGGAATGGGACGAGTCGTTCCGTCCCACGTTTGGTGCGCCTAAAAACTGTGGAACGGGTTGTCCCATGGGACGAAATTTGATTGATTTTTCGTTCCACCTCTTCCCCCTGGAACGATCCGTTCCACATCTGTGGAACAAGAACACAAATTTATAACATTTTATGACAAAATTTCTCCTTATCTTTTTCAATATTTACATCATCTGTTCCGTCCTGTTCCGTCCCGTCTGCGTACCAAATGGTACCTTTGTTCACTTCCTTTATTTCAATAACTTTGAGTTATGTCTATGTGCAGATAATGAAGCATACTCTAACCGCAGCCATCAACTACGGGGAAATCTGGTCAGACGTCGTGTATCCGTTTTGGGGTGTAAACAGACCCTATTACTGTGGTCAATGATGAGTCAATTTTATATTACATATTTTACCCTATTCTTAGGATGTTTTGGTAATTATTTTAGTAGAATTTTGATATTTTCATTTATATTTTCAATATAGGACATTTGACTTCCTCTAGAGAAAAACGTGGTCAAACGGACGAATTTTGGAGTGATTCAAATTGGAGGACGTTCATGTGTCTCTTGGCGTGTTCGTGTCAAAATTTAGGATTTTTCTACCAAGCGGTTATTTTCTGGAGATGGAATAAAGGAGCAGTGTGCAGTGTTTGAAAATGATGTTTCTGGGCTTAAATTGAGTTTTTGGAGCCCAAGATGACCTTTGACGGGTTCATTGCCTTCTGGAAAAGTGTTCAAAATATTCCAAACCTTAAATCCAGCTATATTGGGTCAGTTTTGGAGCAGTTTAGGGGTCCAAAATGTGGCTGTTCAGATTTTGGGCGAATTTCATCATTTAATTTAGGGTTATGTTTCCTATTTTATTCTAATATTTTGTTTCCTAGTTGGATTGGAAGACCTTTGTTTTAGGAGGGAATTAATTTTTCCTAGGTTAAAAGAGCTTGGCCAACCCTATTCCTAGCGTCTTCTTCTTCTCCGTACGCTCTTGAAGAGAGGAAATTGGCCAAGCGTAGTAATTTTCAGACATTTTCAT